AAATGGTGCTTTTCGCAGAACTAGAATAATTCTATAATTTGTAAGGAAACACAAAAGACCCCAAATAGCCAAAACAATCTTAAGAAAGAAGAACAAAGCTGGAGGTACCATGCTCCCTGATTTCAAAATATACTACAAAGCTACAGTAATCAAAACAGTATGGCACCGGCACAAAAAAAGACACATAGATCAATGGAACAGAATAGAGAGACCAGAAATAAACCCACACTTATATGGGAAGTTAATCTATGACAAAGGAGGCAAGGATACACAATGGGAAAAGATTGCCTTTTCCCATCACCTCTAAATGGTGATGGGAAAATTGGACAGCTATGTGCAAAAGAATGAAACTGGACCATTTTCTCACACCATACACAAAAAATAAACTCAAAATGGATTAAAGACTTAAATGTAACAAAGGAGGAAAGAATATACAATGGAGAAAAAACAGTCTTTTCAGCAAGTGGTGTTGGGAAAGCTGACAGCCACATATAAAATCAATGGAGTCAGAACACTCACACCCTACACAAAAATAAACTCAAAACGGTTTAAAGACTTTAATATAAGACATGACACCATAAAACTCCTAGAGAAGACATGAGAGAAACATTCTCTGACATAAATTGTAGCAATGTTTTCTTAGGTCAGTCTCCCAAGGCAACAGAAATATTAATAAAGAAGATCTAATCAAACTTAAAAGCTTTTGCACAGCAATGGAAACTATAAACAAACAAAAAGACAACCCACAGACTGGGAGAAAACCTTTGCATACAATGTAACTGACGAGGGCTTAATTTCCAAAATATACAAACAGGTCATACAACTCAATAAAAAGAAAACAACCAACCCAAAACAAAAAATGGGCAGAAGACCTAAAGAGACATTTCTCCAAAGAAGACATACAGGTGGCGAAGAAGCACATAAAAGGATACTGAACTTCATTAATTATTAGAGAAATACAAATCAAAACTACAATGAGGTAACCCCTCACACTGGTCAGAATGGCCATCATTAAAAAGTCTACAAATAGGGCTTCCCTGGTGGCGCAGTGGTCGAGAGTCCGCCTGCCGATGCAGGGGACACAGGTTCATGCCCTGGTCCGGGAAGATCCCACATGCCGCGGAGCAGCTGGGCCCGTGAGCCATGGCCACTGAGCCTGCGTGTCCAGAGCCTATGCTCTGCAACGTGATAGACCCGCATACCGCAAAAAAGAAAAAAAAAAAAAAAGTCTACAAATAATAAATGCTGGAGAGGGTGTGGAGAAAAGGGAACCCTCCTACACTGTTGATGGAAATATAAGTTGGTGCAGCCACTATGGAAAACAGTATGGAAGTTCCTTAAAAAGCTAAAAATAGAGTTACCATATGATCCATCAATCCCACACCTGGGCACATACCTGGAGAAAACTATAATTTGAAAAGATATATGCACTCCAATGTTCTTTGCAGCGATATTTACAACAGCCAAGACATGGAAGCAACCTAAATGTCCATCGACAGATGAATGGATAAAGACAATGTGGTATATATACACAGTGGAATACTACTCAGCTATAAAAAAAAGAAAGAAATCATGCCATTTGCAGCACATGGATGCACCTAGAGATTATCATCCTAAGTAGGTCAGAAAGAGAAAGACAAATATCATATATCACTTACATGTGGAATCTAAAACATGACCCAAACTTATTTACAAAACAGAAAGACTCACAGACATAGAAAACAAACTTATGGTTACCAAAGAGGTGGGGGTGAGGGAATAAATTAGGAGCTTGGGATTAGCAGATACAAACTACTATATATAAAACAGATGAACAACAAGGCCCTACTGTATAGCACAGGGAACTATATTCAGTATCTTGTAATAAACCATAATGGAAAATATGAAAAAGAATATACATACATATTACTGAATCAATTTGCTGTACACCAGAAACTAACGCATTATAAATCAACTATACTTCAATAAAAAATATGAATATATACGTATAAAAAGACATGTATGGGGCTTCCCTGGTGGCACAGTGGTTGAGAGTCCGCCTGCCGATGCAGGGGACACAGGTTCATGCCCTGGTCTGGGAGGACCCCACATGCCGCGGAGCGGCTGGGCCCGTGAGCCATGGCCACTGAGCCTGCGCATCCGGAGCCTGTGCTCCGCAACGGGAGAGGCCACAACAGTGAGAGACCCGTGTACTGCAAAGAAAAAAGACATGTATGACCTGAAACCACAAACCTCCTAGAAGAAAACATAGGCAGTATGCTCTTTGACATCAGTCTTAGGAATATTTTTTTGGATATAGCTCCTCAGTCAAGGAAAACAAAAGCAAAGATAAACAAATGGGACTACATCAAACTAAAAAGCTTTTGCACAGCAAAGGAAACTATAAACAAAACAAAAAGGCAGCCTAGTGAAAGGGAGAAGGTATTCGCAAATGATATGACCAATAATGGGTTAATATCCAAAATATATAAACAGTTTACACAACTTCGCATCAAAAAAACAACCAGGTTAAAAAATGCGCAGAAGAACAAACAGACATTTTTGCAAAGAGGAAATGCAGATGGCCAACAGGCACACGAAAAGATGCTCAACACTGCTAATCATGAGGGACATGCAAATCAAAACCACAATGAGATTATCACCTCACACCTGTTCTAGAGGCTATGATCAAAAAGACAACAAATAACAAGTGTTGCCAAGGATGTGGAGAAAAGAGAACCCTTTTGCACTGTTTGTGGTATTGTAAATTGGTGCAGCCGCTATGGAAAATAGTATGAAGGTTCCTCAAAAAATTCAAAAGAGAACTGCCATATGATCCAGAAATTTCACTTCTCCGTATTTACCAGAAGAAAAAACATGAACTCAAAAATATATATGCACCCCAATGTTCATCACAGTATTATTTACAACAGCCAACATGAAAGCAACCGAAGTGTCCACTGATAGATAAATAGATAAAGATGCGGCATGCGCGCACGCACACACACACAGGAATATTACTCAGCTATTTAAAAAACGAAATCTTGTCATTTGCAAAGACATTAATGACTTTGGGTATTATGCTAAGTGAAATAAGTCAGACAGAGAAAGGCAAATACCTTATGATCTCACTTACATGTGGAATCTAAAAAACAAAACAAACAAACAAAAGGAAAACAGATTCATAGATACAGAGAACAACTGGATGGTTGCCAGAGGGGAGGGAGTTGGAAGTGGGGGCAAACAAAGTGAAGGAGATTAAGAGGTATAACTTTCCAGTTATAAAATAAATAAGCCATGGGAATACAATTTACAGCATAAGGAATATGGTCAAGAATAATATAATAACTTTTTATGTGGAAAATGATGGTTACTAGACTTAAGGTGGTGATCACTTCATAACGTATGCAAATGTCAAATCACTATTTAGTACACCTGAACCTAATATAATATTGTACTTCAACTGTATTTCAAAAAAAAAAGAAATCAAGAGTAAACTATCGAATAGTTGCCACAATTTACAAAACGCCAATACAACAAATAAGCCTCCTTTCCTGCCTGTAAACCACCAACCTAATTCTATTTAGGGAGTAGAAATAAGAGCATTGATAACATTTTTTTACTTCCCTTCTTTCAATTTAACATTGTAGCATAAGTATTTTAAAAACTCCCCTCAGCCTGTATAAACTACCTTCTGAATGACTAAATAATGTTTTTTCAATTAAATGTACTATCATTTTCTTCCTTTTTTTCTTCCATTTTTATTAAGATATAATTGACATATAGCACTGCAGAAATTTAAGGTTTACAGCATAATGATCTGACTTACATACATCATAAATGACTACCATGGTTAAGTTTAATGAACATCCATCATCTCATTTTCATACAAAATAAAAAAATTTTTTTCCTTGTGATAAGAACTCTCAGAATTTACTCTCTTAACAACTTCCATATATAACTTACAGCAGTGTTAATTGTTTTATCATGTTGTACATTACAGCCCCAGTACTTATTAATCCTATAACTGGAAGTTTGTACCTTTTGACTACCTTCATCTAACTATCCCCCTCTCCCCACCCCCTGCCTCTGGTAACCACAAATCTGGTATCATCTTCTATGAGATTATTTATTTGTTTTTCAAATGTAACTGACTTATAACACTACCTCAGTTCTTGGTGCACAATATAGTAATTCAATATTTTTATACATTACAAAATGACCACAATGTCAAGTCTAGTTACCATGTTCCCACACAAAAATATTACATTATTATTGACTATATTCCCCACACTGTACATTTCATCCCTGTGACTCATTTACTTTGTAACTGAAGTTTAAATGTACCGTCATCTTCTTAACCAATAACTGTCAGCCATTTAAATCTACTTTTTTTGTTCTTATAAGTATTGCTGTATAACTATACAAAGGAATGTTTCTTTCTTTGGAATTTTTTTTTAAATTACAAACTAGAAATGAGACTTTTCCAGTTAAAGCATATGAACATATTTATGGTTATTGATACAAATAATCCATTTTCCCAAAAGATACCAATTGAAACTAATGAATATATACGTATCCTAAATTTGCTAGCAATGGATTTTTTTTAATGTTTGCTAACATAAGAAGAAATTGCTCAACAAAACTAAGAATGTTGAACTTTTACCTACACCTATTTACAAACTGTGTTTTTCTTTTATTGTGAATTGTGCACTGACATCAACTTATCAATAGCTAGTATGAATGTTCTTCTTCCAGATTATGTAACACAGGAGTATTTTATCTGCCCTAAATCTACCTGCTTCAAACTTTAAGAAATTTTTTCTACGTCTAGTGATTGAGAATTTGTGAAAAGTCCATGTTTGCTCCATGTGAAAGCTTCTTGGTTGATAGGTTCTGATATCTTGTTATTGTAATGAATATGTTTAAAATACAGTTACTAAATGATTTTCAGTTGCATCAAAAATTTTGGCTTAACTATGATATCACCATTATGTAAATTTTACAAATTATGACATTACCTTTTCCTCATTTGTTGTAGAAGAATCAAGATCCTTTCTTTTCTTCTTCAATTTTTTATCTTTACTTTGTTTTGTGCCAGAAGTCTGATAAGGCTGCAAATCTACTCGAGAATGAAATTGATATCGACCACTTTCCACATCACAGTAGTAATAAATTCCAGTGGAAGGATCATAATATAGTTGATTTTCCTTTCAAAGTTAAGAAAATAATAAGTTCTATTCAAGTAAGATGAAATAAAATAGAAAAAACAGACAATAGAAATGACATATATATTCAAACACAGTAAATTTTCTTTTAAGAACTATAGTATTTTTGGGAAAAAATGAATAAAGATAACAGAATGAAAAATGCTTGTAATTTTCCAAAATATTTTACCATTCAATATCTTCTCTAATTTTCCTGGTGTGGAAAATGGATACATTTACATATTATATTAAATCTCATGAAATTGCCAATATTTGACCATTTTTTTACTTATAGAAACAGCAACTTCATATGGTTCAACAGAAACCTTTTAGAAGTCACGAAAACTAAGGTATGCATCAGAAAAAGCCGACCATATAAAAGCAATTGCAGACTCATTCTCCATATAATTACATAATGGTTTGGTAGTATAAACCCCTAAACCCTCCTCTCAATGACATAAAACAAAGAGTTGCCTTTCAATGTTCATGATTCAAAATCCTGGAGAAAAATCTGAAAATAAAATTAAGCTCATGAACACTACAACATAACATTCTGTACAAAGAAATCAATAAACAATTGTCTTCACTAATCAATTAATTCTACACTAAGTAACTACATAAGACTTAGAGTAAAGCAGCCATGCAATATAGAGTTTTGGTAAATTATGGATAAAAACTAGAAAGATAAAATTATGTAATCATCTGCATTTATTAGATACTGGCCAGTACCCTATAACCAAGATTTAATTGAACCATCTGTATCTTATTTACGTCATAAATCCATGCAGATCAGACTTGGACACATCTTGCAAAGATATATACTGAGATTAAGCAAGTAAAGCTTCCTGAAAAAGAATAATTTATTTTTCTAACTGTTGATACTATTGCAATTTACTGTCTTTAATTCATTTTGTAGATCTCTTACAAAAATATTTAGAATTCTCACTATCTTTCCTTCAGCTAAAAACTGAATGGAAGCTTTCTGATCTTTATTTCCAGTGATAACAGAACTTCTACAACTCAAATCTTTTTAATCTGCTATGTCTTTCAGTGCAAAATATAGACATTTTCAAATATGTAAGAAAATTAATTAAAATGAAAACTAGCACAATAAAAATGGCAAAGCACTGAAGTCCCTACTCCACTGAGACACAACCTGCAGAATGTAATTAAGCATTTACAGAATAGATGTCAGGAAGAAAGTTACAGAAAAGAAGGTAGGAGAATGACAAAGACTAACGTCATATACTTGGAAATTCCGTATTTTTCTAGAAACCAAGTAATTAATAGCTATTTTCTTTGGTAATAAAAGTTTAAACATTAATTTTCTAGGTATTAATTAGCACTGTCAATTAGCATACTCCTGTGAAATAAAACCCTCTTTTACAAAGTATTTACAAAGTACTATACCAAGTACAAACTGACAAGCTAATGAAATCCCTTATCTAATAAAATATTTACTATTATCATTACGTTCCCTAGAGTAGTTAATAATAGTTCCAATAACTGGAATGGTGAATATCTGCTCCACTTTGGGGCACTACATTCTGTAATTCCTGAGGACCAGATCATATGTGTAGACCACTGAGGTTGAGGTATGTGGGTATATAACTTCCAGCATCATTGTCATCAAAACCTGAAAAAATCCAATTAAATACCAGACCTTCAACAGTCATAACACTATATTATAAATCAAGAACTTTCTTTTCTGGTTTTGTCCTAGTCCGTGGTCCATTATATTTCTGATTCCATACTAATTCCCTATTTCTCACTGTTAACAAATTGATTTTTTAAAAGTGAAATGCTTAAAAGTCACAAAATATAAAGCAATGACTAATAATAAACATGCTATAAAGAATTTAAGAAAAAGACTCCTCTGTGGTCTAAAATGGATTCATAAAGATATAAGTATTTGAAACAATTTTTAAAAAATCTTACCCCAAGCCTAGAATTAACAACATTACTTCCTTTTAGTTTAGCTTCTTAAACATTTTACAAAATGTAGTTGTCTCCTTTTATTAATAAATATGCTAACATTTTTGTATGTTACTTTACATATAAAAGGTTATTAGATCTCTCTAAAATATTAATCTATAATAACACAATTAACTTAATTAAATAAACATAGAAATATAGTATCATAAGCTACTTTATAAATCTTTACTCTTGCCAAATAGCTTTAAATAAATTTTTACATGCAGCTCCCTGCTTATCTTAATTCAACCTAGGGTTTAATATTTGGTATTCAAGCAGCTAAGAACACAACCATACAGTATTAAAAGGTCTGAGATACTTACAGAATCGTAATAGAATCCAGTGCTGTGATCAAAATACAATCCAGTATTCTCATCATAACTAAATCCAGTCTGTGATACAGCAGCTTCTGCTGCAGCTCTCAAACTTTCAGCTAGTGATGAACCTTCTAAGGATGTATCTTCTGTTGCTAACACAGATGCTGGCTCCTAGGTATGATACAATCATGTCAAACAGGACAAAAACATCCACATATCAATACAAAAGTTAGCAGAACTTGAAACAATAAACAGACCTAAAAACTATTCTGAATAATAAGACCTCAATTTCTGCAATGGAAAGGGATGGCTATCAATTACAATTTGACCCACTTTAAAAAATATGAATTAGTGTATCAGTTAATTCAATTCTGACCCAGTTTTGAAGACACTAGAAGTGAGTGAGTGACCATTACTCAAAAATAAATGCCTAATACCATAGGGAAGCAATCCACAAAATACAGACTGAAATATTCTTTAAGACAAATGATCTGGATTCTTCAATAATTACAGGCTCAAGGGGAAAAAAAATTTTAGAAAAGAGATAGAGAAGAAAGGTATAAATTATACATCACACATCAAGCAGTTGCCCTGTATGAATCTTACTAGGATCCTGATTCAAACAAATGGTAAAAACAAATTTATAAAACATTCTGGGAAATTCGAACAGTGGCAAGATAATTGACATAAAGGAAGTATTAAAAAAAATTTGGTGTGAACATGGTATTGTGGTTGCTCAAAATTTTCTGGTTGAGTCAAACGTACTGACAAATTTTGTTTAGTTTATGTACAGCATACACTTTTGCAACACAACAGAGTAGGAAAACAGTTACACATACGAACAAGTTCTAACTTTTGTTTCTCAAAAACTGTATTATTCACTGCATAATTACACACAGAACATTTACAACCCTTGTATATGTTGTAATAAACCAAAGAAGTCTATTTTTCTACGTAATAACAACAAAGAAGAACAAGTTCTTGAGTATCAACAGTTTCAAGTGAAGCATTTTATTACCTGTGAATTTGAGGCAAAATGGTCCTCTTGTCCACAATTAACATTTTCTGTTATATCAGTACCAGCATAAGCATCACTTTCTATGTGTGACTGGTCTTTAGAATTAAAAGTAGAAGGTCTGATATCCTGGTCTTCCTGAACTGGGAGTTCAGATGCTTTATTTGGAAGATTAACATCATTATAGTATGTCTGATAATAATAATCTATTGCAAAAACAAATTAAGTGATATCATATTAGAATAGTGTATATAAAAAGGACTTAATTCCAAAACACTGGCACTGAACACAAGAGCACACATTGCAAACAAACCATATTTTTATAATTATACACATTTTAACAGATTAAAATTAATGGTCCAAATAAATCTGCAGAGATATATATCTTTGATTCTAATGTCACCTTCAGTTCCCTAGCTGTCAAGCTAAAAAGGAAAAAAAGGTAAGCAGATTTGGATTTTCCATAGCAAGAGTAAAAAGAGAAAACATGTAGATAGGTTGTGTTCTATCAAAAAAAAAAAAAAATTAGCAACTCTTAACAACGTCTAACTACATACCACAGTATACTTCAATATCAAATGACAACATGTCAAGGGCTGACTTTTTCTGTCAAATTTTGCTCATGGTGCTGACTTTTTAAAAAACATAATATTATACAGATATGTAATGTTCATAGCATTGCTGTGTTTAGCAATTTGCTAAGCTGCATCTGAATAAAACAAGGCAAAATTTAATGGGAAGGATCATTTCTTGTTATCCCTATTTATTAAAACTTGGTTTCTCAGTTATTTTGCCTCACAACATAATACCACTAACAAGGCCAGGGTTGTAGGCTCACCCCATTCCCAGGAGGGCCTAGAGACTGACACTGAATTGATGCTAAGTGGAACACATGAACAAGAAAACACATGCCCCTGGTCACAAGTAAGGTCAGATGAGAGTAGATGGCTTACAACATAGCAAAAATTACTCAGTGAGTGTGCCACTGAAAGCATATTAGCAATATTACGTATTTACAGGAATAACAATATATTTCTACTTTCCCAACAAAAGAGCAAATAGATTATCTGAAAATACCAAATCATATGGAGAAAAGTCAACTTTGTTAACAGCTCTCCTATTTATCTAGATGTATACAGATTCTAAATTTAAAGAAAACTCCACGTTAGCATGATCTGAATGTAGTAGTATTAGTATATCTTCACTATAAGCAGAATACCTGAGATTGACCAAGGAGGGTGGTTCTCTGTTTGTACTTCTACATCAGACTTTTCATTATCTTCGTTTCTCCCACAACGGAGTATTTTACTGAGCTCTTCTACCTGAAAGAAAGCAAGGCTTTAGGAAAAATAAGCCATACAGCAATCTAATAATATACACACTATTCTCCTGAAATTACAATAATTATTTTTCCTGGTAAAAGTTTGGAGAAGTACCAATATCAGCCAGTTTCCTTTTCAGAAAAACTGAAAATACTACAATATAATTGGCTTTCACCTTTTACATCTGCAGAAGGAGATGTTTTTATTCTCATATTCTCTAGCTAACCTCAAACTATTACCTCCAAAAATCAGACTGACTAAATTAATAAGACTTAGTGAACAGGATCCTTTATTTCTAACAAATAAGAAAGTTTTTATACTACTGTTTTAATCAGTCAGCAGTTCTCCCTAAGGAGAATTAAATCATTGAATTAAATTATCTAGTATCATTCAGTGTTCTCCACCTGGAATTAATCATTCACTTAAATAATGCCACTCATTTACTTTAACATACTTTTTCCTTGAAATAGTAATCTTATAATTAAGTAACTGGAGCAGAAGGAAAGAGAGGTGACTGCCTCAGAGATGCATCTCGCCTCTCTGTGTCTCACTGAATACCAAGGCCACAACAACTGAGTGCAAAAAATACCCATAAGCAGATGAAGAGCAGCCTCATCAATGCAGCTCAGTCAGACAGGAACTCAGTGTGAGATTACACCCATTATAAGCACAAAACCAAAAAACAAGCTTCTTTAATGATACATAAAGCTTAAAAAGAGAAAGGTGATAAGACTGATTATATACGGGTTATCTGTGCACTTCACAGATTATCAGATCTGCTGCTACCACCAGGGCTGGAACTAGAGTGAAGCAAGCAAGGCACCTAAGGCACAAAATTTAAGGAGACATTCACTCTCAGCTTCATGCAAGTATAGAATCATACCTGAGAATGAGTGCCCCCTTGAATTTTTCGCCCTAGGCTACTGATCGCCTTGCTCTAATCCTGGCTCTGGCTACTACCACTATTACTACGAACAAGACCATTTATATAGAATCTGCTACATGCTAGGCACTGCACTTGGTACTGTGGGTAACATCTCATTCATTCTTACAACCACCTTACAAATTAGTTGTCCTAATCCCCATTTTACATGTGAGAAATCTAAAGAAAGTAATTTGCACAAGGTTTCTTTGACTCCAAAGCCTGTACATATTGTACTTTCCTGCTAGTTCACCCTCAATTCTCAAGCCAAATTTTTACTGCTCCAGATAAAACACTATCTAGTAATTAGGAATGACAGTTAACAAACTCCACCCACCACCAGGGGAGGCTGACTAGAAAGATAATAAAGAAGAATAATTACTAGCACTAGTAAAGTTACAGCTTTCTATGCTTTTCAATTTTTCATATTAGACTGCCAGCAAATTAACACTAATAACCAAAACGCTGGCTCTTCAAAGATTAGAAAAACGTTTTCTTTTAGGTTCTCTACAGCAAGCGGTACTTTTACAATTTAGAATTATAAAAGGGTTTTTTTCACAGCTCATCATATTTTACTCCCCTTTCCCCACAATATTTTAACAATATCTGTAGTCTCCTAGCACAGTCGCTGTGCATTGTAGCTGTCCAAGAAATAGTTGTTGAGTAACAGAACACGAATTTTCGGTAATGTCATAATGTTAACAACTCTATACAATGGGCACAGAAAGTCATTGCAACTCAGTGGTTATTTTCATAGATTATTTGATAGCAAAGCGTAATAAAGTTTGATGATACTTTAACGTTCAGCCTACATTTGTGGTTTTAGGAAATGTATCAATATATGCCAAAAGACTAGACAACACTTAACTGAAATTAATAATTATGAGGAAATAACTTGTTGGGAAAGAGCGCGACTGCCCAAAACAATCAAGCTGAAAAGATTATGCTGTTTAAGTTTTTTTAAAATGCGAATTTAAATATTTGTCCTTACTGCATGTTATAAGTACAAAGTTAGCTGCTTAGTGTCTCTAACGAAGACAGTTCTATCTTCCCTACTTCCACTAGACTACTCAAGATGAATGCCCAGAACAACCTCACACATAGCTAGCGTTCAGCAATTTACAAAACTGTAAAACAGTCTTTGACATTTACTTTGATTTAACCTCCACCAGTGTGGTCCTGGCATTCTCATTTTATGGGCCACTGAGGCTCAATATCAGTTCACACATCTAGGGTATGATAAATGGGATTCTGATTGAAATCCGGCGCTTTAACAAACTCAAAAGTGATCTAGAACAAAATATTAGAAATGTGCCTACTGCCAATGGGACTTCACAAGTGAGAATGAAGACTGAAGTACTTAAGTGCACTCCACGCCGGCCACAACTGCAGCTCACGCACTTATCTAAATCGAGTACCCCAACGCTTCGGTTTGTTCCAAATGGACCTGGAATTATCATCGCACTGAACTTTTAACTCTTTCAGGTACTCTATAAAGCAGTCCTGGGCCCTACCAGGGAGCCCTTCTGAGGCTATCTTAGGCTTCGAAGGCCTCATCTCGGGCTGGATGGGGCGTGGGGCTGGAGGCGGACCGCGCACCTGAGTGCGGAGCTCCTGGTTGTTGCTCTCGGCGCTCTGGTACAGCCGCTCTGTGTGATGCAGCAGCTTCTCGATCTCCCGCACTTGCCGCTTGCAGCTCCGCAGCTCGCGTTCCAACTTTTCCACCTTCCGCCTCAGCTGGGCCAGCTCAGGCTCGGGGGAGGGAGGTGGCGACGGCGACAAAGAAGGCGGCGGCGCCTCAGAGGCCATAGGGTCCGGCGCGAAGCTGCCCGCGGGAGCGGAGGGACTGCGCTCAAGCTGAGACGGAAGCCGACGGCCCCAAAAGCCACGGGAGCACGCGGGCAGCGAAAGGCGGCCTCATCCCCGCCCGGCCGCGGCGGCCCTCGGCCATGAGGCCCTAAAGCTGGTTACCTGTAGCCGAGGCAAACTGCGGGCAGCGAGCAAGGGGACGGAGAATGCGCCCAGTCCTCCCGGCTTTGAAACAGTAAAACTTTATTGGTAACCACCTGCCCCGGAGACCGAGTAAGCCACCGAAACGTTGGAGAAATGGGCTGGCCAGCGAAGCAGGGACCAGAAGCGATTGGGCCGTTTCTGGGCTGAACCGGAAATGGTGGCGCCGGCGGTGGGCGGGGCCGAGACGGAAAAGGAAGCGACGGAAGGCGAGAAGGGCCTCACAGCGCACAGGCGCACTTCCCGCCGGCTGCGGGGTGCCCGGGACGGGACGGGGCGGGACAGGACTGGGCGGGGCGGGGCGGGGCGGGGCGGGACGTGAGGGCGTGGAGAGCTGGCGGAAAAGGTGGTACAGTAGCCCGGGAGAGAGAAACAGAAGATCGCGCATCCTCTGGTTGCGGGATTTTACCCTTGCACACTTTCAAAACGTTTTCAAACTTTTTGCACAGAGTGCACTTCCTAGCTCCTCGTTTTACAGATGAAAACAGTGAATCTCCAAGAAATGTTTTACCAGGGTTCATAGAATTGATGCTAAACCAGGACTGTGAACGTAGTGTTCTGACGCTCTGCTTACTTAGTGCTTCTGCGGATTCCGTGAGGTTAGGCCCCCCAGGAAAAGAAAGCAAATTCCTATAGGTCTGGCTTTCAGAGAGAAGCATCCCTAGTGGGAAAGTAAGCAGCAACATTCTACGGAAGTAGGAGAAAATTTTTCTGTTTCAGTGCATCTATTTCGTGCTTCGTCTATGTGAAACAGGCGTTTGTTCAGCAGCCTTTAAACTAATGAGGGCTTCCTGGAACACACTTTCTTTCTCAACCAACGTCATTTAGAATTAGAGCTTGAGTTCGGAATGCCGGGCCTGAGACCTATGGAGGTCAGCGACTACGTCTTGCCTGTCGTCTCCCAGGGCCCAGCTCAGTGCCTGTCACAGAGCGAGTATCCTTAAATATTTGCTGAACATAAGAATCCTGTTTGATGTCCTAGTTCAGTGGCCGCCCTGTGTGCTTTTTGTCCCGTGCACTGCCCACTAGTTAAGTCACAGGCGGTGAGTTCTCCAGCGGGGACCTACACTCTCTAGGTCCTGCACACATTATTCCTTAGGCTTTAAGAGTCCAAAATGGCACCACAGTGATCTTCTAGCCATCAAAGGATATTTAGTGAGAAGGCAGAATATGTACTCCCCGATGTAAAATAGAGATGTACTGCCCCCTGAAATCTGACTTACCTTAATGCATTATGACTCTAATCAAGAATTTACCCAAATCTTTTAAAATAAAAGCTATATTTCCCACTTTCTTCACCTTTTGCGGGGGGAGGGTAAGGAATTCCATAAACACCACCTGTAAGGTAACTTTAAGGTAAAGGGGACTTCCACTTTCTCATTTTATAGATGAGAAATTTCAAGTTTTAACCATTCGTCGTAGAAGGAATAAATAAGCTTATTAGCTGCTACTTGAAGCAATGATTTGTCTTAAAGGTAATCCATTTAATCCTAAATTCTGACCTATCATGCCACTAGTCTATAACTTACCTCTGACCATTAGGCTGGAAGAAAAGAGTCATAATATATTTTTGAGCAAAAAAAAAAGCTTTGTGTATGAGGTGGGAATTGCGTTAAGCTTCTAGTAACAGAACTTAGATTATAGTGGCTTATTAAACAAATTAGGAGGTTACTCTATTACATTAAAGAAGTCTGGAGATGGGCTGTCCTGAGCTCTTTAGAGACTCAGGCTCCGTCTGTCTTTCTACTCTCCTATTCGTAGAGCATATTCCCAGCCTCCAGGTCAATTCATTTTACAATATGGCAAGGGACAAAAGGACTTTCCCAAGGCCCCACCCAGTGACTTCTGTTTATATCTCACCCCTTGCTGCAAGTGGGGCTGGGAATTGTGTGTGTGTGTGTGTGTGTGTGTGTGTGTGTGTGTGTGTGTGTCTTTCTGAGCTGGACACATTATTCCCTCTAACAATAAAGGGTTCTATAAATATGGAAGAAAGAGAAAATACTTGTTGAGTAGGTAAATAGCAGTCTGCCATACCTAGTTTTCAAATCAAAAGGTACTTAGTAGAGTGGACAGGGCCAGTGCCCTAGAGAAACATACTACTCGGCACCCTTCATAGTTTGACTTTGTTTTTATAGTGTTTTTCCTAAGTTATTATTGATATTTGGTACCTCAGACTGTAATGATACTCCTTAGTTTACAACACATTATCAACATTAGCCCATGGATGGCTCTTCTCTTTTTCTGTTTTTGGGTTTTCTTTTGTTGTTTTTGTTTTTGTTTTTGTTTTTGTTTTTGTTTTAAAATTGCTCTGTATCCCCAGTCCCCAGTCCCATTACCTCCTTTCTGCCAATATGGGCACCCAGTCTCACATGTTTGATATATGACCTTAAACATAAATCTATCCTATCCTTATGTTTCCTGTGTATTTCTTTTACATAAGTAGTATTTGGTTTTAAATCTTATGCTGTTTCTTATTTTTTCCTCACTAAAGATGTTTTTAAAATTCATATATATTGCTATCGTACATCTAAGTGCTGCATAGTATTCCAAGGTTTACATATACCACATTTTATTTACCTATTACCCTAGTTGTCAACATCTAAGTTATTTCCAATTCTCTATTAATACAATTGATGCCACAATGAAAATCCTTGTTCATGCCACTTTATTGACCTGTGCATTCATTTCTTTGGGATATATAGCAAGGTATGTGATCTCTGGCTCATAGGGCAAACATTTAATTTCACTATGTTCTGCTATATTGCTCCTCAGAATGGCACCAACAGTGCACAAGGAGTTCTTTGTCCTCCACGTTCTCTCCAATACATAATATTAGTCCCTCTTGTACATTTTTTTGCCATTTTTATGAGTGTAATGAGGTATTTCATTGTTGTTTTAATTTGCAATTCTCTGATTATCAGAGAATTTCGTATATTTATTGAAATGGCTATTTGGACTTTCCCCTCTGAGAACTGCCTATTCATAATTTTTTTGCCTATTTCTTTCCTGTTCTTTTGCAGTTCTTTCTACAATCTAGATAATAATCCTTTACAGTTTTAGATATTGCAGAGATCTTTTCCCAGTCTGTCATATATCTGTTAAATTCATCTATGGTGTCTTTCATTGAACAGAAATCCTTAATTTTTATGAGTCAAATCAGTCTTTATTCAAGTTCATTTTATTTCATATGTTTTATGATTTGGGCTTTTGAATCTTATTCATGAAGTCTTTCTCCACCCCTGAGTCATATTTTCTTCTGTAAGGTTATAATTTTAACCTTCACTTATAGTTCTCTACTTTAACTGGAGGGATTCAGGTGTATTTTTTCCACACACATTTATCATCTATCAAGTTCCCATATATATCTGAGTCCATTTCTGAGCTCTCTTTTCTCTTCTGTTTGTCTGTTAGCCAGAACACTTTGATTTTGTAGTATATCTTAATATCTGCTAGGGCAAGTTCCCACTCTGCTTTTATTTTTCAAAATTGACCTACTCATGAACCTCTATTTTTCCATGTAAATTTTAGAATGAGTTTGTTGAGATCCTCAAAAACTACAAAGGAATTTTTATTAAGATTGCATTGAATATATAGATTTATTCGGGAAGAAATAGCATAAAACTTTACATTTTTAAGATGTCCCATCCACATACATTCTTTTTGTTGTTGTTATTGTTCAAATTATTCATTCTCTTTTGTCCTTTAATAGAGTTTTAATACTTTTTCTGTAAAGGGTCTTGGGCATTCTTTCTAAGGTATTTCCTAGGCACTCTGGTGTTTTATTGTGAATGAAAATTTTTTTTCTAGTATTTTAGAGAAAGAAAAGTCAAAGTGATGGATAGTTTTCTAGCTTGGAAAAGAAGGTAGGGACCATTGGAGAAGAGTATGTTACACAGGGGAGGGTTGCTTTAGTTTTGATTTTGTTGACCATATTGAGTCTGAGGTTCCTTCAGGACATCCAGTACAGATGCCCAGTAAGTAATGAGCATTCTAGAAGCCCGTCTGAAGCTTAAGAAACAGATCTGGCTGTAGAATTAGTGTGTAAAGCAAACACAAATGGCTCCAAGGGCTAAGGAGATAACGCAAATAAATGCACAGGGCATAGGGCAGCAACTACTCAGCTCTGGAGAACTGTGAACCCACGTGGGAATGTGAACCCAGTGTTACAGAGCTTCTGATTTTTCAAGGAAAGCCAGAAATTTGGATTTTTATGGGACATCTGTTTAAAAACAATGGTTCAGGGCTTCCCTGGTGGCGCAGTGGTTGACAGTCCGCCTGCCGATGCGGGGGACACGGGTTCGTGCCCCGGACCGGGAGGATCCCACGTGCCGCGGAGCAGCTGGGCCTGTGAGCCGTGGCCGCTGAGCCTGCGCGTCCGGAGCCTGTGCTCCGCAACGGGAGAGGCCGCAGCGGTGAGAGGCCCGCGTACCGGAAAAAAAAAAAAAAAAACAATGGTTCAGATTAGAAAAATCATTTCTATGGTTTCATGATTACATCCTCTTCACTGTACGTGTGTGCTTCAGGTGCTGCTCTGGAGTCCTGTTTTTACCATCACTGCCACTGCCATCTTTGCTTCTCTCCTTCCCCTTTCATTGTTTTCTAATTTGTCTTTCTTTTCCTTTCTCTTTCCCCTTGATTTTATGATTTTGTTTGAAAAAGTTTAACTCTCTCTCTATATATATATGTATCACTAGTCAATAATAGAGCTGTTCTTATCTATGCAGTGATTCAAGTAAACCCTACGTCTAATTTAATCTTCAGCCCTTTGATTATCACTTGTAGTAGATGCTGTGGAAATC